AATGCTTTCAGAGATAATTTTTTAAAGTAATTTCAAAATCAATTTTTAAGCTACAAAGAACTTTAAAGTGCTTTGTTCAACTTAACATGTTTTCTCTATTTCTATATATTGCTTTGAAGATGATTTAAAATCTTGTGCAAGAAACATTTTTGCATTTGTAGTCTCAACTGCACGTATGTATTTTTTGTAACAAAAGAAAATATAGCTTTAAAGCATTAAACAGCATTTTAGCTGGGATAACATATGCAGGAACTGTGTAAAATTTGCAGTGTATGACAGTAGCAAACTGGTTTCCAATATATAGTAGACTCAAACATAATTTATGTAAAAATCTCAGGGAAGTTTGTGTAATGCAATGAAGAGATCTTCCAGTCTGCTATTTTTTCAAGTGAATAAAAAGTCTTTTGCTTCTTCTACTACAGTATGACTGATTCCATAGTCTATTTGGTTGCCTAAGTATAGTTTTGAACTCAAAAGGGAAATGATTTCCAAGTGTTTTGTGGGATTTTTTCCTTTAATGTTTCATAATTTCAGAGAGAGCTGTAAGTACACACCACAGTATGATTTTGTGTTGTTGATCAGGGACATAACGCCCATTGTAACAAGTCTGTGTGTACAAGGGACTTCATCGTTCAGGCTGAGTATTCCCGGCTGGATGAATAGGACCAAGTAGTGCTTAGGACTGAGGGGATATGTGACCCTCTGCAGTGTAAACGTTTAGGTCCTAGAGCAGACAGTTTCACGGATTTCTCATAAAGCCATTGCTTTTTAAGGAGGATAAAAATGCAGTGATTTTGCTAGATTGGCTCCTGCCAAATATAGTAACCTCAAAAAAAAAAGAAACCCAAAAACCCTGCTTTTCAAAAACTCTCATGCACTGAAATATGCACTGTATGATACCATATTTTTTACGTTATACAGTCTTCGCATTAACAATCAATTGTTTGCTTTAGAAAGTTTTAAATTGGAATTCCATTTTTTATATTTTAGTGTAATTGATATGCTAACCAAAATGCTGTGAGTTGTTATGGAAAAAGTGCTGTTTTATGCATACTTGACTGCTGCTATGATGTAGAATGCAATATTTTATTTTAAATGAAAGACTTTTTCTGTAAGTGGACAGTGTATCTTAAGAATCTCTGCAAATAAGTGTTGTCGAGTATTGTAATGGTTTGTTGTCTAGCAATGTGAATATGCTAAGCTTCAAGATTTGTTTTTAAATATATGCCACAACCTTGCAACAGTCATGTAATAAGCCAGAGAAGGAATGAATTTTCAGGTAGGTATTACCTTTCAGCAGGAAATCCTAATTCTTGTCAAGTTACAGCATTGATTAAAGGCTTCCGTAGCTGAGATAATTATTGCTGGTCATCCTGATGAATATAACTGTACAAGATATTTAAAAATTACTTTAAAAATTGTTTTAGAAATGAAGTTTCTTCTAGTTGTTGCAATTTAGTTGATGAACTGTTTAGAAACGTATGGGAAAAAAGATGTTACTTCTTTAGGAGACATGAAGAAATGTTAGCTCTTGGATAAAGCAAGCAAGCCGTTCAGGAATGTATGATCACATTCCAAGAGCAGAAAACAGGCAAGACTCATGGAAAAAGGCAGGTATAAAACAGGGAAGAAACTTTTTAACATGAGAAGTGCACAGTCGGGTATGGAAAAGCTGGTAATGTCCACTAAAAAGCCATACCATGACAAATATTTGCTAATATACTTATGCACTGTTTTTCCTCTGCCTTAGATCTAGAGTACTCAAAGACCTAACATAACTGAAAAATATGAGGATTACTATACTGAAAGAAATTGCTTAAGGTTGTGCAAGGACTCAGAGAACTGGTCCATGATGGACAGCAGTTATAAAAAGGTGTCTGGAAAAAAAAAGCGTATCTAAATTTGTTTTTTTGAATAAAAGGTTCACAATATATTAAAGTGAAAAGAAATCGTGTTAGGAAAAAAGAAAACACATAACTGCTTTTAGTTGTTGGACTACAAACGCTTCAACACCTGGCTTATTGAAGAGAACATGAAAGGGATGTTTTCTAGAAAACTGCTTATCAAGACATGAAAGTTAACTGTGCATTTCTTTTGAGTTTAGACGGTGAAAATAAAATACCTAAATCTAACGAATGGCATATGCCTGCCAAGATTTTTTTTTTAATGTATATAATACCTAGAATTAGTTTCTGGTGTTTTAAAACACCACTGAAGAAAGCTGCTCTGTTTAATGGGGTAGTATACAGGACGGATAACTCTTTGGCCTTCTCTCCCAGCGTAGCCATATGTAATGTCTATATTTCAGAAAGAACCTATGTGTACCTGAGTAGAGGCTGTATATTGGGCACTCCCTAAGCACATGTCTGGCTTTAAGCATCTAGTTTTTGCTAAGCTAATTATTGTATGATGAAGAAGCACTTTGCTTTTCAGTATGTACAGAGAAAGAAGCCCATAAGAGGGGAACCACTATCAGACTGCCTGCGATTTGTTACAAGAACGCTGTTCTTTAGAACAGCGAACAAAGGTAAACTCTTATGAAACCACTTCATTTGCATTACTTTGTGATCTCTTTTGTAAGATTTTCCTGTAATCTTGAACTGCTTACATATATGAAAATTACCACCATCTTGAACAGTCAGATGCTATTGTTAAACTGTTAACTTTTTAGAAGTGCCATTAAAATGAAACAGAAGAAACAATGAGAACAAATATGCAAAATATGCATATATATATACACACAAATATGCAAATATATACTTAAACTACTGTACTATGATGGAAGTAAAAATTGACAGTTCAGTTGCTCCTTCCCACACATAAAAGGCATCTTTTCCTCACAGCAGATTGCCTAAAGTTTTTTTTTTTTTTTTCCTTTGTGAGCTGAAAGTACTACACCACTGAAGTTTAAATGTTACTGTAGGTAGTGTGCCTCCTGTTCCTCTCAACACCTTTGGACATAATTAGATACCTTTAATTGTAGTAGTGAACAAATTTCTGGGATAATGGAAAGTATGAAGAAGAAAATGTAATGTAGGAGACGTCATAATCTTATGAGGCATGTTTTCCCTCCATGTCATATAGTAGGGGGCAGTATAGCCTTCAATTCATGTTGTGTAGTAGTGTGATGTTCTGCCTGTACTTTTTGATAAATATCTATAGTGTCTTTCATGAATGCTTAATTAGGTTCAGAAACTTTTCAATCTGTACATCAGAAAGTGAACCATTCTTTGCAGATAGTAATAAGGAGAGAAATCAG